AGGCTGATGTTTCCTCCGCCCTCATCTACCCCTTCCCCCGTACAAACCCTTTCTGTACACACTTTTAATCTCATTTGGGGCTTGACACTGACAGGGTCCAGTAGAGCCTTTGTGAATTTTTAAGGTTTTCAGCACTTTGCAGGATTGTGCTCCTAGCCTTATGAGTTTACCATTTGGATAGGATCTTTTCTTCTTTATTCCCTGCCCCCCCACCATTTTGAAATCTGATTACTTTTAGATGAGACACCCATCAACCTCTCACTAGAAAGAACTGTGGTCTGCATACCAGCCCTCCATCAGTTCTTCCCCCTCCCCCTTTTATAAGTTTAATATTAACTTTTTTTTTTTTATTTCTGGGAGTGGCATAATTCAAGAACAAATGAACTTTGAAACTACAGACACAACACACATACGCAGCATTTTTCAAAAGATGTTCTTTGGCAAGTCTGAAGCAGACTGATAAAAGCAATTCATGAACATCTGATTCTGCAAGAGAATCTTGTATCACTGATAGCAATCTGGACCTGCCCAGAAATTGCCTCGTAATCTGTATGCTTCTGCCCTGTGGCCAACCCACCAACTCCATGCACTTCTTTTGTCCTGAATTATTAAACTGATCAGATGAGATCACATATTCAGTTTATACTTCTTTAATTTGGTGACACAAAATGCACTTGTATATCTGTTATCCAAGAGACTTTCAGTAGATGCCAGATGGGCATCATAGGGTCCTCTCTTGATCTTTGCTCTGGTTGTAAAAACAGAGTCCTGGATTCTTCATCCCATGCCAGAGATTCCCTGTTACATTTCTTAAAGCCAGTAGTGTGAATCCTGTGAGCACTACTCCAGTGCCTTAAATAGTCCTGAAGAATTTTAGGATTGGAAGTGCATCATGTACCTATTACCCTGTGCCCCACAACCCCCTTCCTCTATATCCCGACTGCACAAAGGCTCTAACACAGCCATATCAACAGATGGTATTAAACAGCTTACCTGATTATTTGCAGGCTTATATTTTAGTCCAGGCTTGTTCAAAATTCTCTCAATCTGATCATGGTTAAAATTGGAGATTCCAATGGCTTTTACCAGACCTGCATCCACCAGCTCCTCCATAGCCTAAGAGGACAGGAAAATCTGAGCCTTTGGCTAGATAGAGACGACAACAGCACCTGAATGATGTATTTCTGCTGCCAATATGACTTCTTTCTTTCATGGAAAGAAATGCTAAAACATTTCTATGATTCTATAACTAAATATAGGGCTAGAAGGGACCTCTGGAGATCACTGGTTCAACCACCTGCTGGAGGCAGGATAATCTCTACCCAAACTACCCATAAAAACCCTTCTCTAACCTATTAAAATTACCTAGTCAACCCCACCATACAACCACAAGGCATAGCACCCTAACCTGCCACAGGTAAATCAGGGGGACAACAGCAGTCAGTGTCCTGCTGCTGCGTTATTATAATATGCTCAAGAGATCCAACTGAGCCTATTAGGGAGAGGGGAGGGAGACAAAACAGCCCATCTCATCCTTCCCTCAGAAGAAATGTACCCTTTTGCTGCAAAAGGCAAAGAAAGACTGATTTTTGTGGGTATGCATTTTTTAATGAACCACAAAAATCAGAGAAGAGAACCATTATACCAGCTACCCAATTACTCTGCCAACGTAGGGTTGCTTCCAAGGTTAAGTAGTAAGTAAAAGCATAAGCAGTCTGTAAAGATGGGCTAAACTCAAGTTTTCAATATATATTCATTACAATATTAGTTCATTTGCTCTGTCTGCCTACATTGTATGTTTGCTAATATTTAAATAAAGCTGTTTTTTAGCTTAACTTTCAAACATGATTTCATATGAACAAAGAATTTACACTCCAGTTACTTGTAGTCACCCAAGTTAGCCAATCAGGATGTGGGAATAGCAGCTGACGTTATAAGTAAAACAGTAAACATTTTATATAAAATGACTGTAAATCATCTGCAAATGAAGATTTCACATTTGCTGCAAATAGTGCTGCATGAATCAAGTACAATAATTTTATAGAAGTCTTAACAGACTTCATATATACAAAAGAGCTGTCTAGCCCGGGGAGGGGAAGTGGGGGGAGAATCTTAAATTGTGATTGAGCCTACCTCCCACGTGTCCAGAATATCTGTATTACTGGGTATAAGCATGCCTTTATCATCTGCAGGAAACAGCTCCTCTCCTGCCTGTCAATGCAAAGCAGAAAATTTGAAACATTCTCTGTTGATTTTTTTGCTTAGATGGAAGACCTATAGGACAGTCAACTATAAAAGCATGAGCTGTTAGTGAAAAAGAAGAGTCCTAACTCCCATTTAGGTAATTACTTTATCAATTTTTGGAAAGATCATTCTCTTTCCTCCTTCCTGCTACCCCATAGGAAAGTACTTCAATGCTTCATCATGATGCAAAGCACAATCAACTTATAAGACTGTTGCCTATGGAAACAGCCAAGCACATTCAATTTTTAAGTAGTGTTCCATAATGTACCTTTCTGAATGTATTTCCCTTTAGCAGGTCCTTATTTGCTCAGTTCTAGCTTATATTGGACTACATCTGCTGCATAAGTGAATGTGAACAACGTCATGTCTTCTACAGGAGACTCTTTAAATTGCAGGTTTAGGGAAAGACAATACAAGAGCCTGTGTGCACAAGTTGCTGACTATATACTTGCTATTATTATTGCCTAAGCTCCTCTACAGA